CTTTTTTTATTGAACTAAAAAATCTTAAATATTCCGAGCTAGAAAATTTCGTCAAGTATTAACAATGTTTCAGTGGGTACCACTGAAATTTAACATTATAAAAATACGTTATATCAAATCCACATTTTTATTAAGCGATATTAAGGCGCAATTTTTTATACAGATAGCTTTAGACCATCTAAAATGGTTGGATTTAATTAGAAAATTTAAACGAAAGCAAGAACGTATTGGTTTTCACAGCACAGCTATTGTAAGTGAACGGCTGATGGACACGTGTGACGTCAGTTCGTGAATAATCACGTGACTCCCCGTTTCAGGCGAAAACGAAAGTAAGCGTTTTTTGATTGAAAATAACTAAATAAATAGCCTTCTTAGAAAATTAATAAAATGTTTTCTGGGAGTTTTGAGGGATTCTGAATACATTAAAATTATAAAAAAATTTGACTGTAATTGTCCATTGTGATTGTAGGATCTGCCATAAGGAAAAGATCACTGACTTAGCATGGCTCCAACTGGGTGTTTGAAATATTTGAATCAACATATCGATGTGGATCCCTTTTCAGTTGAAGTTAGCTCAACAAGCAGAGTACAATTAGGCTGAAGCAGTAATTGCTTTTTCATGTATATCTGTGGAAAGAAAGAATTGCTATATGTTTTGTTTTTTCTCTTTTTTGAACANTTTTTTTTTTTTTTTTGAGAATGAATGTTGATCATAATCCTCTGTTTGATTCAAAAATATGTAAACTTTAATATTTGATGGTTAGGTTTTTTATTTGTTTCAATATTATGTTCATTGGAATGTTTCTTATGCTTAGGAGGGATTTTTTATTAATCATATTGCTCCAATATGCAGGAGAGAGAGTTGTACCTTCTTGGGACGAACAGCATTGGCGATCGAAACTCTCTACCTATGGCAACACTTCACATGCTTTCCCCATTAGCGTGTAAAAAGTCATAGAGGAAGGAAGTACGTTAGCTTCTCTCTTGATTTTCATATAGATTAATTAAAATCTTTTAAGTTGGAAAACTATATGGAACTGAAAACTACATTTAACATAGCTCTGAAGAAAAGTATCACGGAAATTTTAAAAAATATTTTTATGAAATAAAAAGGAAAAATATTAAGAAAATATCGTAGTACATTCCTATGCAACTGAAAAGAGGAGGAGTGGGAAGGGCTTAAGCTATGAAACCGGCCTCTCCCCAGATGGCATATTCGAGTGTTGCGATCGTCAATATCTCTGCCATCAATTGGCGATTAACAAAACTAACCTGACATAGTTGTTCCCTTAGCCAATAAGACTTAGGGTAGAGTAGCTAACAACTGAAGTCCGATTTGTGGAAGCTAGAAAATGAAATTCGTCGGAAAGTATACAATTATTTCATATTTTCCTAATTAATAAGGGTTAAAAATTAAGATAGTGCTTTACGCTTTTGGGTTCTACTAAATGGCATGGTTAGTAAATCTGGACAACTAATCGCAAACACTTTTACAGACCATGTCTTTGTTCGTTTTCTAAAATTATTTTCCCCAATGTGTTTGTATTGTGGACTAAATTGTTAAAACAGGAATGAGCGGAATCTCGTGCATGTTAAAACAGGAAAAAACTCTTTCCTTTTAAAAAGCGAAACTATATACCCAACAGTAGAGCAAAAGATAAACTAAATGACTATTGCCTTCACCCTCAGCAACAGGGTCTTCAGTGCGTCAGAAGCAATCACTCAAGTTCTTTGTGAATTTTAGTGCATACGACATGCCTATGGACTAATCTAGTTTATAAAGAAGCCCTTTTTTTCATTTTTCTATATTTTGTATTCATTAACCAAGTTTTTTTTTTCTTCGCTGTATTTAGTTTATTTTTCATTTAGCACCAAGGTACAACATGGTGTACTTTGTAAGAGTATAGAAAGTAATTAATTACTCCCTTATAGAAAAAACATATTTTGGAGTGTTTACAAATTCTTTAAATGGTATGCAAGATATCTTTACCCAAGTAAAAATTAAAAAAAAAAAAATTGCTTTCCAACTGTCCCAAGGTACAACGCTTCCCTCTTTTTTTTCTCTCGTTATGCATGCATTTCTAAAGAATAATCTAATCAGCCGTGATTGTAGGATCTGATAAAAAGATCAACGACTTCTCCAAATGGGATGTTCTTTACATTTTAATGTGGACACCTCAGTTGAAGTTTGTTCAACATGCAGAATGCAATTTCGGCTGAAGCACGAAATATGAGTGATTTTTTTTTACAGATATTCGGTTAGAAAGAAATGCTATATATTATTTTTCTTACCCCGCAAATAGTTTATTGACAATTTAAGTAGAACATAATTGTTTTGCTATGAACGATCTAAATGTTAATATTTAGACAATAAGTTTATTTTATTATTGTAATGAGTGGAATACTTCTTTCCACAAACCTACATTATTAAGAGTAAAGTTAAGGATTTTCTTTAATAATTATATTGTTAGTTTTATATATTTATGTAGAAAAATCTGTCATGTTTTTAGTTCTTTCAACGATGAGAAGACCTCAGCTAATTAGACTTCAACTTAGGTAATGTTTACTTTAAAATGTCTAGTTAATATTGACTTAATTTTATATCATTAATGAAATGTGCGACTGAGATTAACGAGTGCATCCCGAGACAATGCGATAATAAATCTTGAATACCTAGTCACATTAATTCCTTATTAGTTTTTAGTGATTTACATTCGAAATAAATTATTTTTTTGACTTGTTAATTTGTATAAGAAAAGTAGTACTTGCTATTTGGCCTAAAATTCTACACGAATTTTGCTTAATATTATTTTATACTAATACATAAGTGTATTTTGACCATATGTTTTTATCTATGGTTTATAACATTTGATTTTAAATTGACTCCTCATCCTTTAATATTTTACTATCTTCATGTATCTACCAAAATCTCACTTAAAATAAATGATCGAATTCTTATAAATCATATCATATATAAAATTATAAAAGAACAATTCTGTTCAAACTCTTCCAAAAATAAGCACATCTCAATAAAATTTGAATATGTTGCTTAATAAAATCGTTGTTATTTAGGGCACTGCAATGAATGAAATAACTATCGGAAAAGAGGCAGGACAAAGCCAGATGGCTGAATATGAGTCCTCCTGTGATTCATTGACTTGGCAACGATTGATAATCGCAGGTTCGTCATCCAAATGCTATGAACGCCAAAGACAGATATTTATCATTTTGGGCACGAAGGAATAGAACAACAACTCTTGAGTCAGTTCAGATTCTCTCAATGCAGTCATCGGAAGATTGGTATCAACGTCCATTGAGCATATATGGCATTACGAACCAGCCATTCGTATGCCACTCTTATTTGAGGTCTATTCAACATGTCCTGGTCCAAAGCATCAGTGAAAGAGATGCATAGCAAAGGGACGTGTCTCTGGGTGCGACGTTATCTTGTTGCGCGGACGCACAGACCTGCAATAAACAAAGCTTGTTGTTTGTTTGCAAAACAGGAGCAGTTGAAATTCTTCCCTTGCATCAAAGATCATCTTACTTATGAGGAAACAAACGCAAGCAGTTAACAAGATACTTAGAAGCTCTTATGCCAAAGAAAATAAAAAAATAGTTTAAGTGCTCTACATTGGATGCAAAACTATTTTTAAACCGAATACCATCGTGCAGTAGATAATGATCTGGGCTTTAGAACGGACAAATAACTAAAAAAAATTTTATTGATTAAACTCTTTTTAAAAATCGCCACTTTAACGGCATTTTATCAATATCATTGTCTTTGCAAATATTTATGAGCACCAGATAAACCAGTATTAGGGTAAGTTTTGTACACATCTATTTAACGAAGTCCCTAAATCCCGACAATCGTTAAATAGAAAAATACCTTTTGAAATACTTAAACAAGACAAAACAGGATTAAAATTCATAAACACTCGGCATAAATAGCAATGGATGCATCTTTATCTTCCAAACTAGTATCTACTATTTATTTTATAAATACTAACCATAAAAGAAATCTGCACGGGAAGCAAAAACATACAGTGCTACATACATTTCCAACTAAAAAAAAAAAAAAAATAGCTGAATTTACGTATAAAATTATAGCTGCATTTATTGTAAAAGGAATTTTAAATATACATTACTACATGTGTCATATGTTTAACTGCTACTGATAAAATTCGCTAATTTGGTTCGAGTTTTTCGTTTGAAATGCAAACAAAAAGGGAAATTGATTTTACAGTTTTCTCTAAAAGCTATTTTAAAGAAAGCATTGGCGAAAATTTATTCAAGGGCATTTCCCTCATAAAATGCGTCAACAAGTTTGAAATGTTCAAAAATATTTTGGGTAATAGGGAAAGTGGATCTCAAAGAAAAGTTCGTTAAATAGAAAATTCACTTAGATATTTTACGAAGAAATTTGCAAAATTGTCTTGGTTCCTCGAAAAAATTTGCAAAATGGAAGTTCATTAAATAGAAGTATGTCTGTATTTACATGCATGATGCATTTGATTAGGTGGTTTTATAATTAAATATTGATTGAAGAAGCTGAAAATTTCAGAAAAGGACAATTCTTGTAGAAATTGGGTGATATCTGAACAAAATAATTGTCGAAAATCATAATTCCAATCCACAAAGACAACTATAACTTTTAGCTCTTTAATAATTGGTTCCACTTGAATATATGTAAGATACATTTTACAAAAAAAAAAATATACCCTGTTAGAAATTGCTTTTGTTTTATTTAATCCATAAAAGTACTAATTAATATCATTAACAAACACTCAAACTTCCAAACAAGAAATTGGATTTTCTCTTAACTATTTTTATTTCACCTAAGAATTTATTATTTCCAGCCTTGTTAAATTTTTAACAGAATAAAATTTAGGCTGATAAAGTAGCCTTAGTTTTTAATATTTATAATAATTAAATCTAATTTAGTTTTGAAATTTAGAAATGAATGGATTGGGAATAGTTATGTGATCCCTATGTTTTATGATAACTTAATGTATATTGAAATGAATCAAGAAAATAGCCAGTATTTACAGGGTTCCCACTCTTTTAGCAAAGCAAATATTAGAATTTTTTTTTTTTTTGAAAAAATTAAAGCCCCTAAAAATTAGTATGATTGTTGTTTATCTTTGAATACATCCCCAGTGACAGTGCCAATTATTTACCTTTCTAAAAAAAGAAAATCAATATTATTAATCTAAGTACTGCTATATCTGTTCATAGATTTAAAAAAAAAAGAAAGAAATGTGAGAAAAACATGAAAAAATTATTAAAAGTTTTTATATTTTGCTACTAGACAGGCGGCATCACATTCAGTTAAGGGCCTCTCTTGTTAAATATTCAGTTACACCAACAACAAAAAAATCTAACTTTGTAAAGCATTTTCATTCTAAATAGTTGTAAAGTTTAGGAAATATTAATGCTGCAGTTGTGCAAATGGCTTATCCTGGAAAATCTGCAGCGGTAATTGTTAATCTTATAAATTCCTTTCAACTTGTAAATGCAAGAAAAAAAATCTATATTGAGCTACTTGTGTATGGAAATAAGATCTATCATTTTCACATAAAAAGTAAAGTTGTAAATTTGGTATATTTATAATTGTCTAAATATTGCATACAACAATGTATTCTGTTTAGAAAAGTCGCATATGGACAGAAAAAGAAGAAAGATACCATTGAAGGCTACCAGTTGACCAAGCTGATCACCTAAGATGTATAATCATGTATTAATAATATTTTTAAGATGAAGTTCAAATTTAATACTTGGATAATTTACTAACCTAAGCTAAATGAAATCTTGTTTAAATGTTCATAAATGTGCAACTACAAGAAATAATCAGATAAAATTAGGTTACAAATCTTTATTCGTGTTTTTAGGCAACCATTGCAGATGCAGTTGAAGATTCACTGAAAAAAAAAGGAGATAAATTATATGGAATAAATTTCAAAAACAAACTTGAACTAATTTTAAAATTATAAACACTTTAAATTTTTGTGTGGTAGTTTTTAAAATATCTATATCTTTCCAAAATTCTTCATACATTTCACTGCACTAGTTACCCAATTAGGCATATAATATGAAAATTAATGCAGTGTGCTAAAAATTTCTAGCAAATATGGAAGCTCTTCAAGCTGCTGATGTGCCAATGTAAAAAGCTTTTCAAACATTACGGTTCAAATTATCTACTGGAAAAATTAGCAGCTTCATTACAAGAAAACTTAACTCTTTATTTAAGAAAAAGCAGGTTTCTCAAAGTTTAAATTTCACTGAATTATAAACTACAAAGAAAAAATTATTCCACACAAGAATTTACCTCTTTTTAAAAAAAAGAATTTACAGTTTTTAAGAATTATATAACAATCTGGGAAATATGGTCTCCCCAACTGCTAATTTTATAATCACATTATTTTATTCTTGCATATCCGTGATCCTTTGAACCAATAAAATGGAGTCATATGTACAAATAGGATCATTAGATCAGAAGTTATTCAAAGCGTTTAAAAAAATTTTTTGCACATTATTCATATACTAGTGTCAACAAATATTGAGGGGGGGGGAATAAAAATTTATAATAACACACTTATTGACAATCACTTTTATCACCTGTAAAATAAACTGAATAGTTATAATATTGATCTTAAACTACTGATATTAGCACGTTTTTGGAAAAACCAGTTAAAGGTTTCAAGAACTTTCAAGCTATCTTTTTGTCATTTAAGGCTGTTATCGGAAAAAAATTTCCAGTTAAAAAAAAGCAAAGTTATGTATTAAGAAAGAAAGAAATGTTACAACACCTAATATTCAAATATCTTCACACTAAAAATATTTAACGAAGCAACTATAAAAGTCTGAAGCCCTTTTTAAGAATGTCTAAAACCATATAGTTAAATTAAAATCTCTCTTAAAGCCGCTGGAACATTGCAACACAATACATATGTATTTCAACATTGCAATGCAATTCAATACAAAGCCTCAAAATAGTGAAATTAAAATCATAGCTTGCACAGTTATTCCCAAATAATGGAAACCGAGTCTTTCAAAAATGAGTGAAGGAGGACAAGAGGAAACTTACTATTTCCAGTTGGGTGGGAGAACCCTTTTTGATTTGAAGTACCTTGCCAGCCTGTGGATCCTACTTTCAATGAGAATGAGACGGAATTTAGAGTCCTTGTCTTTCCTGTTCCTTTCCAAGTGTTTCCTCACCGCAACAGCCTTTTTGATCAAGTGATAAAGATCTTCTGGAAGATCAGGAGCAAATCCTTTTGCTTTCAGAATTCTTAGAATCTTATTACCTGTGACCCACCTCACTTGTGCTACTCCATGGGAATCTCTTAAGATAACACCTAAAAGGTTAAAGATTCAATCAGTCGGATAACCTTGGATAAATCTGCATGCTGGAGATAAGCGAGATTCATCAATATGTCAGATAATCAGGGGCTAATTTTGCAACAAAAAATAAGCATTAGTTAACATAAAGAAAAGTGATCCTTATAAAGCCTATCAAATCTAACACAGATAGGAAAAAAAAAAAAAAAAAAAATAGATTTCCTTGAAAATATATGAAACACATATATATCACATGTTTATATATTAAACACAAACTTCAGATAGCACAAAATTTTAGGCATTCCAAACGTATTCTTTTTCAGGCTAAGTTTCAGGGTTGCCACTCAAATCTGGGTAAATAAATTTTAAACAACTAAACAAACATTTAATAATATTTGAAGTAAATTACAATCAATGAAATAAAAAAACTTATAATAAGAGATAGATCGAATTCCAGATAAGCAAAAAATAGACAGAAATTATTTTCACATACAGTGGAGCATCGTTTAGGTCCCAAATCAGTCCTATTCATTTTAATGTAAAAATATATCGTTTATATGACGCACAGAATCGGTTATACGTCGGTTTTTAGATTTTGTTCACGTTTATTTAATTTATTATTTTTTTCTTGTGTATTTTAAAAAAGGGCGGAATTTGCCAACATGAATTATACAGAAAAGGGTGCCAACAAGAATGTTATGAAGAGGCAAAAACGAAAAATTTTGCTATTCATCGACCAATGTCCGCGCACCCATCGATACTATAAAAGAAGCCCTCTGATAAAAGCCCTCTTTTCCCCTGCAAATTGCACAAGTGCGCTTCAGACATTAGATTTGACCATGATTAGAAATCTAAAATTGCATCATAGAAAGCAGTAAGTTCAACTCGCTATTCAAAGCATTGTAGAGACTAATAGCAAGAAAATATAATTAAAGGTAACATACATTCAAATTGCTCACTGCAATTTCTCTTCTTTGGTTATTCGTTTGTTTTGTCTAATTTAGAAATTCATGCAAATCAACACATTAAACATTAAAATTAACCGAAAACAGAGCTAGTTTCAGCCCTAGAAGTAAAAATCGATTATACAACATTTTTCGGTGGTCCCCTCGGCGTCGTAAAAACGATGCTCCACTGTAATATAATTATTTTTTCTAAGATTCATAAGTGCAGGCTTTTACCTTTTTTAAAAATTGGTCATCAAATGAAATTTCATAACATTTTTGATCTTTACACAAAAATAATCTGCTTGAATAATTTTTTCAAGCATATCATCACTAAGTGATGACCTAAATTGAGTTTTGGTCTTCTTCACATGGCTGAAAACACGTTCACATTCAGCGTTTGAATGAATGAGAGATAGCACAGACAACATGAATTTGGATAGTGTTTTATATTTTTGTTGACCAGTTGCACTTTTTATTTCTCCTATTCTTGCCCAGTACTTATCCATTTTCTCCTCCTCAACTGATTTTTCAATTTAAAGTTCACAAAACTCCTGCTGCAGTTTGTCAATTATCAAATGTTTTCCCCCATCAGCTACTTGTAACATAATAGGATATCTTTCTATGAAAAATTTTATGCTAGTGAATGAAGCATATTGAATGTTTCTAAGATCAGCTATGGCTGCACGAAACAAAATTTCACTTTGAAAGGGAAATTTTAGACACATGTAGTCATATTGTACAGAAACATCTTCTGACAATTTTAAAAAAATTCTTTTGTGTTCCCACTATTTCAGAAGCTGAATTCCCTACAATCAAGTCAGGATCATTTTTTTTTTTTTGATTTGAGGGCATATTGTAATTGATATCCAAATAAGATTGGCANCCAGCATGATCGGCACAACTAATTGGCAAATTATGCTCAATTATAAAGGCAGTAAACAAACATTCAGACCTAATCACTGTTTTATCATTATCATTCATCACAAAAAGATCAAGCTTTTTGTTATTTTCAATGGCTGAAAAATTTCTCACATGTTTTGATGTGCCCACATGGACAACAATATCGCTACGCCCACCGCGCGCAATGCGGAAATCAGTTCGACATGGAATACAAAAAGCAAAATCTTTACCTTTTACAGACTTTTGAATAAAATCAAACTCTTTTGAATAACTGTCTTTAAAATTTTGATAGTAATAAGCTCTTTTCGACATTGTTAAGAGTACGAATGACCTAGAAAACAGCTTCAAATGAGAACATAACAATCCACTCGAATGCCATTAGATTAGAATGTTTACCAAAATATTTCGCGGTTGCGAGTAATTAGTTTTCTATCTACCATTTCACTGAGGCTACGTTCCAGCTTACGAGTTGGCCACGTGATCCAGGAGAATTGGATTGTTTCCTCAAGCGCGCTAAGTTATGATATATTTTGAAATCTTAGCGCTGCTGTACCAGATTTCCGCAATAAAGCAAAGAAAGTGGAAAAAACGGAAGACAGAAGAATTTTTAAAAAACCGGAAATCTCTCGGGTAAACCCGAAGAGTTGGCAGCTATGTCTATGTATGTTCCCAGTTGGTAAAGAAAAAGAATTCAAAATTCCATGCTTTTCCCGTTATTTAACATGATTTTTAAATTGCCTGTGGAGTGGAAGCCCTGTTTTTAGTCTTCCTCATTCTTGTAAGGAAATTTAGTAAGATCACAAAATAAATTGATTGAAAGATAAGGCTTTTCTCATAAATCTGTCAATTCTTATCTCATTCTCCTCCCAGACCTCATCTTGTAGTAACCAGCAGGTAAAAGTGGGACAAAACAATAGATTTGTAGCAATTAATTTTGTGGTGACATTGCGTTCAATAGAAAGAATCAGTATTGAAAAGTTGCATACTCTTGGCCGAACAAACCATTTCCCCTTCCTTATTTCATGAAAAGGGTACAATTTTTATTTCCTGTTTTAGATGCTTTCTTATATCGTGTAGTCTCGCGGTAATTATAAATATGGAAGCTGCCATTCTAAAAAGATCTCGAAAAAGATCATTTCTTATTAAGCTAGAAAACAGAAATAAACTCGATGAGCTGAATGGCAATGCAGGCGAAACACTAAAAATACTTTCCTACACTGAGGTTTTGTGTACCACAGTTTTCATTTTAGACCTCAATAAGGGCAAGATGCTAGAAACTGAAAAGGGCACAATTTCTCCCTAAAAAAGGGCATAGTTCAATTATGTATTATTTATTGATACCCATAATATACGATGATTCAATTTTATCAATAAAAAAGTCTTTTCTCTCTTTTAAAGATTATTAGTTTAAATAAAAAATAATTACCCGGTTATATTTGCAGTCTATAAATTTGTTTTAAAATGAGAGTAATTCTCGAATTTTGAAAATGTTGTGTGTCATCAAAGCAGCTTATTAAAAATATCAGGATTTTTAAAACTGCGTCCAAATAAATAAATTAAAAATCAAGCAAGTCAAAAAGTGACATTTAATTGACAAATTCGTTTTCCATAGCAACACCACATAAAAAAAAAAATACCGGAATAAGAAAAAACAAGTGGAAATGGTCGCAAACAAGGATTGAAGAGGAATTCGCCACAGATCGAAATTCTGACCAAGTGATAATTCAAATTAAGAGTCTCGAAATCTTCATTAGGTTGCCGGGAAAGTTTGTGCTGACACATGTATTACATAGTATTATAGAAACAGCATGAATTTTCTTAATTAGCCAATACTCTCTGACAACCAGAAATTACAATAGAATCGTCACAATTTGAACGCCCTAATAAAAATATAGAAATTTTAAAAACCACGAAAAAAGGCGAAAAATTTATAGAAAAGAAATTATGATAATTAAGATGGAATCGTCATAAATCGAATGACTTATACGGTGATAACACATAGGGTTCACACCCCCAAAAATTTTTTTTTAAAAAAAAAAGTCTATATCAAATGAAAATTATAAAACCCAATATAGTAGCATCACTAAGGTTGTAAAACTTTGGAAAATAATCAGAACAAAACATACATAGACAATCCATATCTAATTAAAATTAATTTATAGAGTACAAAACAAATTACAGAAAAAAAAGAAAAAACTACAAAGGTAGAGGAATCGTATGAACCACTTGTAGAAAGAGAAAGCTGCAATTTGCTTCATAAAAAAATGGCCTTTTTTTAATATTAAATAGTTGTGTGTCAAAAGTATAAACTATGTTCTGCCTTTATTTAAAAAAGCTGAGGATCTTTAACAAAAGCAGATGTGATTGCACGTCAGGCAAAACTAGCAAAAGCCACACCTCAGGGAAGCCAGAATTCATTCAATTAATAAACATTGTTTCCTTAATAAATATCAAATAAACATAGCAGATTAATAAAAAAAACATTTTTTAACAATTAATGCTTGATCTAAAATTATAAAACAATAATTTTTGCCATAAAGGATAATCAATAACGACCTGCACAGAAATATTTGAAAGACTTGCATCTATGGCACGGTGAGGCCAACCTTTAATCAAATGGCACGCAAGAATTTTTTTTATTGAAATAGGGCAAATGGGACGACCTTGCCTAGAATGAACCCTTATACTAGACTAGATAAAACAAAAATTGAAGGAGAGAGTTGCTAATCAAATAGAATCATGGGTGCAAGTTGGAAAAAAGGCTAAGACTGAAAAACCTAACATACACAATACCCCCTCGATATATGCAAACTATCTAAGAAAGCTTTACCATAATACATCAAGTTTAAAAACCGTACAAAAAATATTTATTCACCTGTCTTTTGATAAAATAACAACTGGACATAAGAAAGTAGACCAATAACGTAGACCTAAAAAATATAGAAAAACGTAGACAGAAATTTTTTCCCCAATTTCCGTTCGCGGACATTTTCGAAAGACGGAAGACTTGCACCCATGAATAGAATAGAATTCCTTGATTTCCCCCCCAAAAATTCCAGTCTAATATTGCAGTATGTATTGACAATGTGGTCAAAATATACAATGAACCACAAAATATTAATACTTATAATTTATACATTATATTGTAAGTTTCATAGTATAACACCACAATAAAGAGAAAAAAGGACAAAGACGACAACATAAATCTATCATATAAAAGAGGTATCTCATATGCATGAGAAATATAAAAATCTTTTTCAAGTCATTGAGAAATATTGCCCATGTGTGTGTGTGGGGGGGGGATGTCTGAAGTGCCAATAACATTTCCATGAACACTGTTCATGTGTTTACTATACAGATCTGCCCAACCAAGTTGCCTTAGCTCTAGTTTTGTTTAACCTTGGTAAAAGAAATTCTGTGTATGAAGCATAATTCTTTATTGAGGTTTAACTAAACAGTAGAACCGAGATCCCACCCAATTTAGTTTACTTTCTAAAAACATTTAAAAATTAGCGCAATATATCTGGTTACATCTGTAAGCTCTTGGTTTTAAATTCGAATTAACACTACTTTTTACAATCTGTATGCATAATACAAATTCATAATTTTTTTTTAAAATTATAATTAATTTCAAAATAAAAAAGAACAATACATAAAGAATAAGTAAACAATATGAATACAGGGTTCCCACTTTTTCAAAGCAAAAATTAAGGACTTAAATTTTGGAAATAAATTGAAATAATTATTACAAGTTTTTATATTACGGTACAAGACCTGCAACGCATATTCATTTGTGGGCCAACCTCGCCAATTATTCAGTTAATAAAGATTCTTTCTTTTCTATTAATAAAATGTTTAATTTATAAGAGCATATACTAAAAGAATTAACACTAAAAAGTTGAATCAGAGTTATGCATAAGAATACTTTTCTTAACTGTGCCATGTACATGTAAAATTAAGTCCTACTTAGAGTAAAAACAGGCGATTACTAATATCTTATTTTTATTCTATAAGTATCTTTTATAGAATAAAAATACAATTACTTTTGAGAAGATTTATAATTTTCAAACCAATTTGTTTTTTTATTATTAGTTCTCGGTGACACATACAAACAAAAGGGTCTAAAACTATTTTTCAAAGGTATCAACACATTCCTATGGCCAGAAAATTGATGAGGTTCCTTAATTAACAAATACTGATAAATTATATTTTAACCATTTATAGATTTTTGCTAGTAATATTTCTTTATCATCCTCTATCATTCATAATATTCACTACTATTATTTGATATTTTATTTTGATTGCAAATTAACAGTTGAAAACTGAAAGTGGTATTCTTTTATTATAAAATAATCCTGGAATACCATCTCACTAGGTAACGTTTGATAAAAAAAAAAAAAAAATTTGAAAAATTTGATGAAAAACATAACATTTATGAAATTATTACTAAACAATAAATTTGCTATATTTACTTTTATGATGAGCTTTACACAAAATTATTTCCAGTCAAGCCTGTTATTAGGAATTAACTTTACATGTTGTTACTAAACAATCTGATGAAAAACATGAACTAATTTTAAAGCAACCAAAAATTGAATAAAAATTTAAAAAAAAAACAGTATATTAAGTTACAATGTTAACTGAATGAAGATTTTATTAATATCTAAGGATCTTTTAATTGAGTAGNGAGCTTTAAATAAAATTATTTCCAGTCAAGCCTGTTATTAGGAATTAACTTTGCATGATGTTACTAAACAATCTGGTGAAAAACATGACCTAATTTTAAAGCAACCAAAAATTGAATAAAAATTAAAAAAAAAAACAAAACAGTATATTAAGTGGAAATGTTAACTGAATAAAGAGATTATTAAAATCTAAGGATATTTCAATTGAGTCGATTTATACTTTATGTAACAATCTGCTTATTAAGGAACAAAAATAATAGAGTGACAATCTAAAACTATGAAAAAAATCAACATTGCAATAAAACAAATTATAAATAGTTACCAAATATTTAACTTTCTTGTAGAAGCAAATCATGCATTCTTATTTAGTACTCAGGAAAAAGATTTAAGTATTTTTGAATAAACTTGAGGTTTTCATCAAAAACCCAGGTTTTCTTAATGAAAAACATAGGTGGGCTGGAATTTTTCAAACCCTGTTTATTATAGATCTGTTTAATTTTTAGAACAATCATGTATTTTAAATGCTACCGCTTTCAATAAATTTAATTACTTATTACACATTGAAATATTATACAAATTAATTTAATTCTTCAAGACTTTTAGGAAATAATTTTTGTTATGGATTCTAGTTCAAAAAATATTTCCGATACTTCTTTTCTTAATTCCTATAAGCAGATGTGTTACCAGTAGAACTGAATTTCTTGAATTCTGTTAACTTTCAGGGATGAGATTGGCCAAAAGGCAAAAAAGCTGAATTTCCACAAGAGTAAATATTACGTGCATGCAATCGTTTAATAATAAATTCCAGACAATTTAAGATAATAAATAACTATGCGATGACATAAAATTGTGTACTAATCTATTAATATATGAATGATTACATCGATACTTAACATTTAGTAAAAAGTAAAATTACCAATTGAAAAAATAAAGCTAGAAATTATATTCTTCTTCAGATCACATAAAGGAGAAAATTAATACTTAAAAAACTGCCTAGTTTAGCAAATTAAAGCTACTGAGAACATACACTAACATTCCCTTTCTTTTAATACTGTTACANTCTAATACGAAGATCGATGATTGATATTAAAATCGCCTGAATAAGAATCGAGATTTTGTCAGAATCTGGCACAGTTCCCAATATTTAAAATTCCTAAAATCAGCCAAACGTACATAAAATCCTAAAATCAAACAGTACGTGTCATCATCAGAAAGACGGGGAAGTCATTCTCTCACACTTACGCGCGTCAAAAAGTTAAACATAGAAACACTGGAAATAGGGCTGTTTTTCTGAGTTTTCGATACTTTTCAAGGTCATTTCGAAATTTTCAAGGATTTAATATCATTTTCAAGTACTTCTAGGGGCCCTTGAAAATCAAAATGAAATTCAAGTACTTTTCAAGGCCGCGGGAACCCTGGTGAATGTTTACATCGATCATTTAGTAAAAAGTAAAATTACCAATTGAAAAAATAAAGCTAGAAATTATATTCTTCTTCAGATCACATAAAGGAGAAAATTAATACTTAAAAAACTGCCTAGTTTAGCAAATTAAAGCTACTGAGAACATACACTAACATTCCCTTTCTTTTAATACTGTTACATGATTTACAACGAATATATCAGTAACATGACTATTATTTTTCATCTGATAAAAATTTTGCATTTTATAGCATAAATAACAGCAGCATTATTTTTTAAATTTTGGTGCAGAGTTTATCAACTCCTTTTCCAAAAAAATCCTTAAGTGATTGCTTTTGTTTGCTATATCTTCTTTTTATTTTTGTTTAATTTACTGCAAATGCTTCATGTTTTACAAAACAAGTAAAAAAATCTTTTACTTATCAAATCAAAACAAGTAATAAAAATCTGGGGACTCCTAAAAGGTTCGTTTGAAGCAGCAACGTCTTAATTATTAAAATACGAGTTATCCAGCGGTCGGGTAAAAATGCATAAAATCTTATTTTCGGCGCGTAAAAGCGGAACGGATTAAGGACTTTAATCTTTGTACCAAACCCTGGAATATTATCAAATTTTAAATATTCTTTAAAATTCAATGTGGAAAATATACTGATTAATCAAAATCTGCGGGACATCTTTTTAACTTGAAAAAGAAAATAAATCTTACCAATCTGGGAGGGAGTTAGACCTTTTTTTGCCAGTTTGCAAAGTTGCTCCGTTACATCATCAGAAGATAACTTTAACCACTATAAAAGCAAATAAAATCATAATTAAAATAGTTCAAAGAAAAAAAAACAGCACATTTAAAACATTGAAACAAGAAGAAAAAAACAATTTTAAATAATTACAAATTGATGTGCTCCACCCATGCTGATTTTATCGCAAATTGAAGACTTTTCTGCAATCATTGCAACACTTTTCATCACAATCATAAGTTATTTTCCCAGCCGTTGGTACCACACATAATTCACGGTATTCAGAATCCTGAGATTTTAACACAGTATTGAGACACGGAAAATCCAGAAAGGGGAGGAAAACAAACTTTTAAACTGCTCACTGTTAGTAATTTTCTTTTAGATTTTTTCCAGCTTAATGTGGATTTCAGGAAAAAACAAAAGAGATAGTTTTTGATTTAAGATTTATAAAACTTCTAATAATTCCCAGAAATAGAAATATCTAGAGCATAATACCAAATGAATATTGAATTTTACTTTGTACCATAATGATTTTGTTTTAATTTTTCCTTAAGTTAAAACCCTAAAAATTTTCCTTGAACTTTCATTTTAACCCACTGACGGTTCTGCACGTAAAAAAATCGCATTTTAACCGGCAGTCTTCTCTGCATAGCAAAACCGGTTTTCCCATGTTAACTGATAGGGGAACTGTGTGTAGGGGAGAAACATTCTCCCAATTTTGCCCATTTCCTTAACCGCCAGTGGGTTAAGAGCATTAGTTTTTCTGCTGGAATTAATAATTCTTTTCCATAACAGATAATTTCTTTGCTAAAAATAAATTATTATTTTTTAAAATTTTTCTTTATTAATAAGTTCTTTTTTTAATTTTTGAATCAAGTCTAATACAGTAGGGAACCGATTATCCGGAACGATAGGGACAATCGCTATTCTGGATAACTGATTTTTCCGATCTTCTGAATCGATACAAAAAGCAGCCTTTTTATTGTTAAACCCACTAAAAAAAAAAAAAAAAAAAAAAAAAAAANCCAAATAAAAAAAAAAAAAAAATAGTTTGAAATAATCTTAAAAAGAAGAAAAAACAATGAAGTAATACAATAATGATTATTTCCAAAATGATGGTAAGGTCTGATGGCAAGGAATGATAGTCTTTCAAAAAAGAAAGAAAAATCCTAAAATCTTATGAGGGAAAAAATTTTTTTTTTTAAAAAATGGCGGGAAAATGTACCGATTTTCGTTCCGGTTTTTTGGTTTTCCGGATAACGGGTTCTGTACTGTAATGAAAAGAATTTTATTCTTTACAATATGGTAAAAATTTTATACATGGTACATTTAATAAAACACTCTCAAAAAGGTTGAGCAACTCTACCTTATAACTGTTTTTTTTTTTCCTTTAATTTTTTCAAACAAATAAATGATTGGGGCGATTTCCGTATCATGATCAGTGGCAGAATAATCGAGAAGAAAAAAAAGCAACAGAAAGGGACCAACTCGAAATATGCTGTATAATTTGCAACCACCCCCAGGTTTTATAAAAAAAGTTTAAAATCTATTTGGCACCTTGGTGATTGCAGTTGGCACGACAGATCACGATACGGAAATATCCCCAAATGATTTTCTAAAAAAAAGCCCCATTTAACTATAAAAAAGTATTGAGTAATTAACATTTTATAGACAGATCTTTGAATTAAAAGAAAAAAAAAAGCCATAACTACAGCTTTTGAATTCAGCAGTAACATTTCAGCATTTCGATTTCACATTTCCTCTTGTTTCATAGATTAAGAACTATTTAATAAAGTTCGGATCTCAAACTGAGTAGTTAAGCAGCAAATATTGAGTAATTTCTATTGAATTTAGCTGTAAAAGAAGAATCAGGGCCGTCTTAATAGCATACAGGGCCCCCGGGCACAGAAATGTTTTGGGTCCTTATAACAGGTTATGCTGCTTAAAATCGAACTAGAAAAACTTAACATACATAAAATAAAGCATTTTTAACACATGAAATAATTTGAACAAATTTTAAAATTTTTTTGATTTCAATTTGTTTTTAGCAGATCAAAAAAAACTGAATTCACATAAAAATTGCATTGGAATGAAGAAAATTTGATTTCGGTTGTCTTTTTAAGTTTCCCTGGTGATAAACAATTCAAAGTATGGGTGTTTGCATGATAATCACTATTTGTAGAAAGAAAAACAAAATACACACTTTATAACAATATATTTATAAATTTATTTTCAAAAATATATGAGTTTTTGCTTAGTCTTAGTTTTTTTTAAACACAATTTATAAAAGTCAAGATTCTCAAGGGCCCCTAAGTTTCTGGTTCTCGGGCACTGCCCAGGATTGCCCATGCGTAAAGTACTGAGAAGAATATTAGATGAACAAAATAACATTATTAGAAAAACTATCCGTAATAATCATGAAAATGGATAAGTAAAAAGATATTACTTACAGTGGGAACGCTTCGTCTGTATGGCAAAGAAGACTGGGAGATACCTTTCCTATATTAAATTTGTACATAATTAATGATGCATAAATTTGAAAGTATCCATAATAGATATACTCATAAAGAACTTTTTCTTTATAGTAGATTCTTAACCTTTCTTATAAGAAATTATAATCCACCCACTAATACATGAGTGGCTTAAAAAAAAATTAAAACCAAGGATATAAATATATGTAAAAGGAGGTGAGAGGAGTATTAATCAAAATCAACCTTTTCTTAAAAAAAATTTTAGTTTCACTAATAAATCTAACTAAATATAGGCTATTAAAACTTTACTTTTCATGAACGGAACATTTATTTCTTTTTTTGACCAACTGATTCAAAGATACTTCTTAAACACTACAGCCAGTTACCGGCCAAGGCCATCTCACTCAGTTTACCCCCATCTAGATCTGTTCAATGCTATATTTCTCAATATAGCAATTCTTTAAGTCCTTTAAACCATTACTCTATCCAACCATCTTGTTCTACATCTCCTTTTTTCTTTTCCCTAATGCATTTGGAAGGTTATTTATGAAACAGGATTTTCATCGCTATAATGAATTGTATGTCCTAGCAACCTAACTTTGATCACTTTTACAATGCTGCGGTTTTTCTATTTTACCTGTTTTTTCTTGCAGCACTGAAAATTTTCCCCTTGAAAATCTTCAGTTTCTCTTCATCTGCTTCGTTAATTGCCCAGCATTTGCTGTCATACAAAGCTATTTGTCTTACTAGTATCGCATACAACTTGTGTACTTAGATTTTAACTGGTTTCTCAATCCATGTTAAGGGGTCTGTTACTACCATTTAGCGGTACCTTTACAAATTTAACTTTAGGAAAAACGGTAGTTCTACAAAATACTTTTTCTTAAAATTTTATTTTTGCATCCTTTAAGAAACGATAAATCCATGTTTTTGTGTTGAGCTTTAAAAATAAATTTTAATTTTTCACAAATTATGACTGAATTTTCACAAAACAGTTACAGTAGAGAACCGATTATCCGGAACGATCGGGACTATCGCTATTCCGGATAACTGATTTTTCCGGTTTTCTGAATCGTTACAAAATGCTGTATTTTTAGTGTTAAACCCAACTGAAAAAAATATATATTTGGAAATAATCTTAAAAATAAGAAAAAACGATGAGGTAATACACTAATGATTATTTCTGAAATGATGGTAAGGTAAGCATCTTTCAAAAAAGAAAAGAAAAATCTTATGAGGAAAAAATTTTTGTTTTAAAGAAATTGCGGGGGAAAATTTATTGAATTTCGTTCCGGTTTTTTGGTTTTCCGGTTTTATGATTTCCGGATAACGAGTTCTGAACTGTACCTCTCAGAAAAACCTAGACAGACCCCTGATTCTAACATCTATTAGGCATATATTTTCCACTTTTAATATCAATTTTGATGTCATTATTTGCTATCGTGCCTAAATATTAAAATTGAACTACCTGTTTAAACTTATAGGGGATATTTCTGTATCATTATCTGTTGTACCAACTGCAACCACCAAGGTGCCAAATAGATTTTAACTTGCAAAGATTTTTGCCCGGGTTGTTGACCAAACAAATGTTGGCCCGGGGGCAGCTACAACTTAATATTTTTTGAATTGGTCTTTATTGCTTCTTGCGGGCCCCTGCCTAGAAACTGCAAAGATTATTCTGCCACAAATCACAATACGAAAAATCTCCAAGCTTTGAATGCTTATATTCATTGATTTTTGGTGGTTGCAGATTTCCTATTGTTATTGCCATGAATTTTTATTTTTTTAGTAAATGACAAGCCTAAGCTTTTGCTGCTGCCACAAGTGCACAGACTGCCTCTACTGTACCTACTACAGTTCTTCCCACAATATCGATATCATCTTTAATTACAAGCAGCTGTACGGTTTAACAAAAAGTAAGTTCTGAGTTTGTACAAGTCTCATGTGCTAAACTGAACCAATAACATGACAGAGAAGATCACCCTAATTCAGTAGAGAAAGCAACAGACCACCTGCTCTCAACTTCATTCTTATGAGGTTAACATTTGGCGATTGTAGTTGGCGCGACAGTTGACGATACACAAATATCCCTTCTTGTGCTTATAGATCTATTCCTATATTTTATTTTTGATTTACACTGACGATATATCACGATACTAACATTTCTTATATAAGCTAAAGAAATTAAACCATATCAGGAGTAGCAACAAATTAGATAAATTATCAAGAATAACAACAAAATTAGGGTTAGGATGCAGTTCAAAAACAACAAATTAACAAATAGATACCATCGTTTATCTAAGATTTTACACGAAGACAATATTTCATACTATATACTATTCAATATTAACAATATACATGGATCTACTAGGTAGACAATAATAGCTTAGCTTAATAAGATCAGAAACAGCTCAAGCTTTCATTCATAAGTAATTCATTATACTAACTGATAGCACTAATACGAATATCGATTTACTACCATGTGAAACGGTAAGCCTACTTAGGAAAACATAGATTTAGCAAAAACATTAAAACAACAAAACTAACAAATAGTCAAACATACCCAGGTGCATGCATACGACCCATGATTAATAAAATTTACAAAATCAGTTGAAAAGATATATAATATTTTTTTTACACGCGAACAACGACAACACGTTAACCCAAATTCGGGATACTGGAAATAAGACTACAACTTTTTAATGCAGTTGCAGTTGTAGTACTTAATAATCTCTTTTATTTACTTCTGTTGAAGGCAGGGCAGTAGCACTTAAGTGAAGTTTGAACTTGTCATCTCTTTTCAAATGCGCCATCTAGGGAGAAGCTCGGTTTCATGTTTTAACCCTCCTCTTCTCAGTTGTAACTACGATTTTTCACTCTTCCATAACAATTTTCGTATTTAATTGTCAGAAATATTTTCGCAAATTTCCAGCCGCTTTCTTTAATAACTATGTTTATTGCAATTTTTAGTTCCATATAGTTTCCTAACTTAAGATGACCAGTGTCAGGGCCTGATTATCGCCTAGACCCAATTGGCACGGGCCTAGGACCCACACTTTCTGGGGGACCTCAAAAATTAGTAAAAAGTTCACAATATTACTTTTTTTTAAAAAAAAATTACCGAAAGAAACAGTTTATCTCAAAAAAGGCATTTTTTATTTCAAATTTTCTTTATATTGTGATAAACCAAACGCGTCTTAACATTGCACTAATCAAATTCGAAAGTACAGCTGAATTTTAATTGGTACAATTTCTACTCCAACGGCTTAAGCAAATGCAACGAGAATGCGTATTCGAAATGTCCCTTATAAATGATTAGTGTCAGCAAGAACTAAAAGCTTATTCTTAACAAATATCTAAAGCTGCTGATCAGGGTTTCATAACCTGTGGATCATGGACCCCTTAGGGGTCCATGGATCATATTTTGGGGGTCCGTCAACTACTCCTAATTTTTAAAACGTTTGGATCAATAATATTTCAATAACATTGATCTTTTTTTCTGAAAGGTGAAAATACATAGGTACATATTTGAAACTAGGTGATCGAGATACCCCAAATTCAGTGCAGATTGCACACAGCCCTCTAATATCCCTGTCATATTTTTAACATCCTCCACTAACCGGCTTTCAGTTTGCACCATCAGAGGCAATCCCCCGATGACGTCCGCTGTGCTATTTTTTATCTCCCCCAATCAAGCTTCGTACATTTGACACCTTGTCCGGGTTACTAGATCTAGAATTTTTTACTAAGAAGAAAGCGCAGTTTTTGAAATCTGGAACATTAACCGAACTAGGATTTGGTATTCCACAAAAACCAGTGGTTGAGGCATCTCTCAAAGTTGCAAATCGTATTGCCAAAAGCAAGAAACCGCATACTATTGGAGAGACGTAAATTAAGACATGTGCGCTGAAAATGGTTGAATTAGTTTGTGGACTGGAACAAAGAAAAAAACTTGAAGCTATTCCATTGTCAATTGATGTGATACATTGAAGAATAGTTGAAATTTCTTGCAATATCTTGAAGCAGATCATCGATGAATTGATACTATCAAAGAGGAATTCTTATTTGGTGAATCTCTTTTGCAAATTACAATGGCAATTGATGCTGTAGCAATGTTAATTGTTTTCTTTACCAAACACGACTTTGACTGGAAAGAAAAAATTCATTTACTTTGTACAGATGGAGCACCTGCTATGCTTGGCAATAAATCTGGTTTTGTCCTGTTGGTACAAAAAGAGTCTCCTAGTGTTCTTGTTACTCATTGTTTTTTACATAGACATGCACAGACTACGACAACTCTTCCAACCTGCTTAAAAGAAGTATTATCACTAGTTATTAAAACTGAATTTATTTAGAAGTAGAGTTCTTAATCATCGTCTTTTCAAAACACTGTGTCAAGAAATGGACGCAGAACATGAGGTACTTCTGCAGCACATGGAAGGGCGCTGGCTGTCACGAGGGCAGGTTTTGAAATGAATTTTCATGTTGAAACAGAAGTATCACTTTTTCTAGAAGAAAAAGATAACCCGCTCTTCGAATATTTAAAAAAAAAAAAAGATTTTACATATAAATTGGCTTACCTGGCAGATATTTTTAACCACATGAACAATAAATTGGCCACATGAATCTTAGAACAAAGTCCTTACTAAAAATGGATTTCGATTCAAAAACACTTGAAGAGTTCTGGTCTTCTGTGAGAGAAGCCTACCCATTGCTTGTAAAGAGAGCTATGGCAGCTGTAATTCCGTGCTACAGTGTGTCTTAACGAAGCGGGATTTTTCCCTCTCGTAACAATAAAAACAAAACATCGAAATCGATTGAATGTTGAACATGATATGCGCGTTGCTTTGTCGAAAGCCATCCCTCAATTCAATTTATTAATTAAGGAAAAGTAGCAACAGCCTTCACATTAAAAGTTTTAGTTTTAAAATTTTTTGTATATTATTATAATAATTAAATTAAATCTTTTCTAACGATTGATGGTTTTTGTAATTATTTTTTTCACAGGGGGGTGGTCCGAGACATCTTAAAATTTTTTAAAAGGGGTCCATTGTGCCAAAAAGGTTAAGAAACACTGCTGTAGATGGAAGGCTACAATCTCAAAATTAATTCAGCTAATCAGTGATTTTCAGCAAAAATCACTGATTCCAATTGTTTGTGGTCCCCAAACTATTTTTATTTTCATTCAACATTGTTTTATTGTTTTATATTTTGCTTTAATATTTAGAGACGTAAACTTTATCTTAGAAAAATAATCTCCAATTGTCTGCTTTCTAAATTTTTTAGAATGCTTCTAGTGAATCATGCAGTTCAATAGATTCTTTTTACTGTTTGGACTACTCTTCAGAAGTTTCCCTTCAAAATATTTTGTTAGGGGCCCCCTAAAATTTTGTGGGCCCTGGGCCTGAATTTGTCTTGATCGGTCCCTGACCAGCGTCCTCAAAAATCTAAAAAAAAACTGGTCGCAAAACTTCTGAAAAACATTCGAAAACTCACCTTTTTATCTTTTTTTAAAAAATCTTTCTGTTAGAGAATCCCTGCAAGGGTTCTTTGCTCTAAAAAAATTATTCAGGAAGAACAAGCAATTAATTTTCAAATATTCGTATAGAAATTTTACTACCCCTTTCTCTTAAAAATTTCTTAAAGAAGCTGGTCAGCATAGTGTAGGGCATAGATTTTGTACCTAATTGTTGATACTTGACTTGTATTTTGGTGGCAAGCAGGAAGTACGTATTAAATTTCGTTTTAATTATATTTATTCAAAAAAAGACTTGAAAATATGTTTAGTGTCTCCTCTATTACGGAATTTCATGTTTGTATTTCCATGCATGTACGTAGTTTATGTATGCCTAGTTGTACGCCATCTGGGAAGAAGAACGGTTCCAGATCTAGAACCATCGCCCTCCCCCTCTGCTTAGATGTATGGGAATGTATTACGATACCATAAAACGAATACGATGTATTACGATACCATTACCCCTTCCATAATTTTTTCGCATTAGACTATTAAAAATATATTTTAAAAAATTTCACGAAGCTTGCTATAAGCTCTATGTTTAATGCAGTTTTGAACTCCATAGAGTTTTCAAGCTTCAAAATTTTTTTTTTATCAGTTTGAAAATCAAGATAGAGATTAATGTACTTACTGCTCCTATGACTATCCAAGCACTAATGGTGAAAGCATGCGAAGCTGTTCCATAAGTAAAGAGTTCTGCTATGCACGATCTATAGCAAATTTCAATTGCCTATAGTAGTAACTCACAAATTAAATTAAAAAAACATATTAATTGCCGCACTAGACATTTGAAAATGATAAGTCGTATTTAACTGCTCACGAATTGAAAAAGGTTTACAATCTCTGGTGTAAGGCCATTCATAATACGTTCGATTGCCCTATTCTATTACTAATGTGAATCGCAACCAGTGATAATGGTCCATATACCAGAACCTTTTCAGAACCTCGCTGATTAGTTATTTCACCAACCAGGTTTAATTCGCATCGCTGAATTCGTGTTCCTTTAATGTGAATTTTAAAACGCGTTTGGTTTGTCCCATGTAGCCACTGCACGGTATTGAATCTATGCCCAAAATTCCAGCCACAATGGGTGTTTAATTGACCCTTTGATAAAGGGCATAATTATAGCGCTCCGTTAGTTTTAGTTTAAAAGCGTGATACTTCTAGTTTTTTTTTCACATTTCATTTCCATTTTACCTTGAAAATATTTTTTGATTCAAATCACTTTTGTTTCCCTCATTCACGTTTGGCGAATCGTGAGAATGAATGCCTACTTTTGAGAGCATGAAATATTCTCTTATTTCGGGTTTAATTAAATTATTTCGGGTGATTATGATATTTTTATTACATTCACACTATCAAAACAGTGAGCAAAAATGTTTTATGAATCGGAAACAACTTAAAAAGAAGAAAGAAAAGTTAAATGTGAATGCAAAATTAATGAATTTTATAACTTAACTCTTTTTAATTTGTTAAGATTGAACAATACATTTTATTGATAAATTTTGATCATAAATGACATAAAATGGTTTTTCGCTCCTCAAAAACAATTTGTTTTGGTTTTGACTTTACATTTTGATTGAGGCATAAACTGTAAAAAAGGATACCTCAAAAAGGAGCAAAATGTGTCAAAATAGAAACGAAACATAATTGTCGATTTTGAAACAAGCATTCATCAAAATTGAAACAGCATTCACTTATATTTGAACAAAATGCATAGTTTTAAAAGTGATATGGAGCAAGAAAAATGTGAAAGAGATGTTCGTTGGCTGCCGGCAGGATTAACAAAAAGGTTGCAATTTGGAAAATATGGTCCCAAATTCAGGTCAAATAGAAAATTTGTAATCTTAAATTCACTTTTTGAATATTTAGCTAAATCATAAAAACTCTTATGCAAACGGAATGTAATCCATGCACAGATGTCGCTAAAATCGATGATGATGCAAATATGATATGAGGGGGGTAAAAAAATTCTGTGTAGCATACATTTAATGTATACTATTGTCTATTTCGGTTATAGGCATTGTTCTACTTTGTTTTCTAATTATTTTAATAGCTGCGCTTGAGGTGGTTGTTGGTATAAATTATTAGTTTGTATAGCTATTTAGTATTAGATAATATTAGTTAATAGAAAATTTAAGTCAAAGGGTAGATGTCAAAATTTCTGAAAACATATACATAGGCAAAAAAATATTTTTAAATCATTTTTAAACATTTTTTATTTCGTACAT